TATGTTTAGCGTTAACCGTCGGGCTTAGTTAGTCTTATTAATATCCGACAGGTGCTTGAATGAAGGCGTCGATTTTCTTCTCCATGCAGTACTGTGTACAAAATGATTGGATGAAGGCGTCGATTTTCTTCTCCATGCAGTACTGTGTACAAAACTGATTGGATGAAGGCGTCGATTTTCTTCTCCATGCAGTACTGTGTACAAAACTGATTGTTGCATGAAACAGTGTTGATATGTTTAATTGATTTACCGCACTGTCCTTCAATAGGTTACTAAATTTTGACAGACGTCAGTTATACCGATATATAGAGTATGATCGATTGTAGTTAAACTTTTTTTTATGTGAGAAGGTGGCAAACGAGCTGGCGGTTTGCGGATGTGGTAATCGATTCGAACTTTAAAATTAGGAATGTATTTTTTTTTAATTTTCAACCTTCCAAGACGTTGAAAAAATATAACACGGACAACCGAGTTATTATTACAATATCCACTCAAGATATAAAACGGCCAAAACAAAATGGCATCATTTTTTAAGTCATGCTTGCGAACGAAAGTATTCTTAATTTTTTAACGAAGTTCATGTTCATTCAAATAAAACTTGAGAATATTGTTGATACGGTGTAGGGAAAATACAATTATTATTGAATTTCTTTTGTTGTGTCATAAACACTGTTTATAAACACTAAATTTAATTTAACTGTTATCTCACAAAAGAAAAGTTACACTAATAAAATAATTCATATCAAATTAAAAAAAGCTAATAGTCAGTTATGAATTTAACAGACTTTTCTAATTTTAAGGACTCATTTATAAAGTCTTAACTATTAAAAAAAAAGAAAAGAATAATGTTATCGGTCACAACAATAAGCAAACGCTACACAAGTATAAAGCAAGAAAAATAAGTTAAAATATTTGAAAGGTTCGCTTACGAGCGAGCATAATGCTTAAAATTCTGATTAATAGCAAACTAAGCAGGTAATTTTTTCTCGTACGTACTTTATTAAATTTGGTCCAACGAAAGTGCTGTTTATTTTACGCGAGCAACGATGTTTAACGTCTTCATTTTAATGTAGTACGCAAGAGCGCTTGAATAGATTGGGCAGGAGGGAGGTGGTGGGGGTGCGGGGAGGGGGGCTAATGTTTACAATGAAAAATTTACAACTTAGCCAATGGGAACGGCACAAATTAATCAGCTGGCTCCAGTGAGGTGCCAGCGCCGATTTTTGGTAGGAAAAATATTTAAGGCTATTTGGGGTTTATTTTTTTATGTAAGAAGACGACGATTGAGTAGGATGGCTTACCTCATGATGGGATTACCCATCACCAACATCCACGATTCAGCAATAGCGTTACCAATTTTTAAGGTCTTGAAAGGTTTCCTAACTTACTAAACAAAATGCAGAAGTGTTAATACTTATATATTATTACCCTATAGCCACAGCCTACGTATGAACAATATAATAAGGTAAATTATTAATAACTCTTTTTTGAACTGATTTAATAATACGACAAAAAGATTAATGGAATAAAGTTATTGCAATCATCGTGATAAAATATGTTAAAGATTATGCCCTAAATAAAATTATCTTAATTTCGGGCGCTAAACAATGTTATTTTTTGTGCGTGTTTATCATATCAGTTACGAATATCGTTAATAGAAATTATACCAGATATAAAAATATTAAACAATTGTTAATACAGTGCAAATCTCTAACTTGCGTTTACGTTTACTTGAAGTTTACAGCATTTATTAGCATTTAGTGTCATTAGTGGCACTGCGTAACAACCTACTTTCAAATTTCTAACGAGAGATTAATTTGGTGGTCATATCATATGCTACACATGGGTACTTGACATATGAAATTAAATTAATCTCACCATAGATCTTTTAGACCAATGGTTCTCAAAGTGGGTGGTACCGCCCTCCAGCGGACACTGAGTCTATCTGAGAGAGCGATTGAAACTTTAAATAATATTGGGGTTGCTATATAAAATGGGTTAGCCGTGGAAAGTGGGCATAACAGTACCTTGAAAATCCTCAATCTACATATTTCTGTTAAAAAATTACATGAATAGTTTCTGGGGTCGGCACTGCAAAATAGTGTGAGATACACTGTTCTAAACGCTTAGTATAATTCACGTACCCATTACGCGATGAGTTTTGCTTTACCAGTTTGTACCAGTGGAAGTCCGTGATTACAATACCTGTATCATTTTCAAATAATAATAATAATAATAATAAAATATCTTTATTCACATAGACGCTTGCGCGTTCTTATGAAACGTCAAAATTTTACAAGAAATTAACACGTTAGTAAGTTACCACCGGTTCGGAAAGCAGTTTCTGTTGAGAAGAAACCGGCAAGAAACTCAACAGTTGCTCAAAGGTTCAGTACACGAGACTACATCACCGGTTTCCATCGAGGGTGATGTTCATGACAATCGGTTCGTAGCAAAGAAACAAATATATCGCGTGAATTAATCGAACCGTATTAAGTTTTACACCTTTCAGCTTTGCGTCTTATCTCAATCTCGTGCATCCAATGCGAATACAACACTCCGATGTAATAATTACAGCAGATGACGGCACACAATATACACTCGTATTTTTTGAACTGTAAAGAAAATTCCCCCTTAGGGCCGTCTTCATTTCGACAGAAAAAGGCGGCGAAACACGCTTTTGTGTTATGCTGAATAACCTTGGAGTTTTTAATTTTGAAATTCTTCTCGCATTTCGTTGCGCCGTGTCATTGGGAATTATTATTCCAGAATGCTCCACTCCGAAAAAAACCTATTCCCGGCTTCTGTGAACGTTAAAGTTGACAACTTGATCAATTAATATTGGCGCATGTCAATAATAGTACTATTAAATAGAAAACTATTCAGGTAAAAGTGGGTGGAATACCTAAAAGCTGGAACGTCATGGATAAAGTTATGTGTAGAACATATGACTTGAAATGAAACTGTTAGATATCAAAAAAGTGCATCATTTTAACTATAAGTAAGCATGTTAATTTCGCTTACCTAACAAAGTCGGAATTGAATGGTGATTTAAAGAATTTTTGTCTTCAAAATGACGACAAAAACGTAAAAATGGGAATTCCGTCCGGAACGGAGCTTTGTTGGGCAAACATTTGGCGATGCGGACTGCATTGGATTTGGAGGTGTTTGTTTGCGAACTGCATTGCGGCACTGTTACGTGATGCTGCAAGCCTGGTACCAATCGTTGCCAATGATACTTCCCCGAAATATTTTTTGACCTTATTTTTTTTAATTATTAAACCTACTAAACTTCAAAGGCCTAAACGACGCAGTACTTGGCGATTGAAGATGTTACTATCAAATTTATGTTCTTATTTCTATATTATGTAATTAACCTAGAAATCTAAATAGGAAATCAAGGAATTATGTCAAAACACAATGTTGTGAATAAATAATTCTTCTCATCATAACATTACCAAGATAAAATTGTACCAATTTCTTCAGCTACTACTCAAAGTAAACGTAATAAAATTTATGCATAAAATGTACCAGGCCAACATAAGCGGCACGAGATGCTTGTTACCAATCTCTTAGGGGTAGCACTCATCTCCACCCTTCGCACTTTGCGGTCCAACGGGCCCAAATTCCACCTAATGGTTACCTGATTGAATTTTTGTATCTTTACTCCCCGCATGTTTTTAATATTAACAATACGTGCAAATATTCACAAATAAAGCGTATTCTATTGCTGCGACCTATTTCATATGTGTTTTATTTTAATGAAGGGAACAGATAATGTGATCACATTTCAAACGGGAAGTAAATATCATAATTTTAAAACATCAAACTTGCAAAATTCAACATGAAGTATTCTTTTGAATAAAATGGCTATTCCTCCCAGCCTTATCTCTCCTCTCTTCTCCTCATGTAAACTCCTCTAGGAGTACTCTCTTTTAGAATACATCCTATGCTGTTTTTCTGATTATTTTTGTACCGAATTAATATCTTCTCTCGAAGAAAACATCAAAATTGTTTTTGAATGATGCATTTATTCTTGAATAATTTTCATTAAACTTTAATTATCATGAAATAAACAATTTAATTGTTTTCTATACTTACGGAACTTAATAAATTTACAAAATACATACCGAATATTGCATACCGAAAATTTACGCGATTTCGCCGTTTGCAAATTCTACATTTTCAATTAGTTCCACATTCCAGTATTCCACGAATATTGTTTGCTTTAAGCAAATACATATTATGTGTTTGTAAGCGGCAGCCGTGATCGTTTGCTGTTAACGCTCCAATGTTTATGTGGATTATGTTAATTTATGCTGTTTTGTGGTATAAGTACATAAGAAACTATGTGATACTAACACATCAGTAAAATAGCTAAACTTTTATCTTTGTTCTTTATTTATTCGTACAGTTTCATAAAGTTTAAGACAAAGGGTAGAAGAAACTCTTTGGAAAGCGTACTTTACGCTGATAAATCTTGAAGTGAATTAATAAGACTAAAACATTCCCAACATTTTGTACAGGACAAATGACGAAGATAAGAAGGGGGATACAGAAGTTGAAAAGGTTTTGTTCAAAATGTTGGTTCATATTAAAATTAATGTTAACAATAGAAGTTAGGGTTAGAAGAACTACGTAAATTTGATCTGCAACTTCACTGTGATATTTATTTACCTATAAGGGCTATCTTTTAAGTTTGGGCCAATACAATATAAGTAAGTTCTCTCGCGCGGTGCAAGTTTAAAATTAATTTCACTTTACTCTCAAATGAATTATTAATTTATATGATTTCAAAACCTAAAATGTCGTTTCCATTTAACTCAACAACTCAGCTCAACTATATCATTTGCTCCATAATACTTACGTCAAAATTCTATCTTCAGTAACAAAATCTACAAGATATAAAGAATGTAGAAACTGGTTGGCTGTTTCAAGTATATGGCCGGGTGACCGGCGTTACTTCACCACGGCTTTATTTAAATTTTTCCCCGAAACTACCAGGAGAGCATAGGCGCGAGCGAGGCTGCAATCCACGGACGCCCCGTCTCTGTCACCGTACCCCCCCCCCCCCCCCCCCCATCCATCCGGCACCCCTCAAAGGCCCCGGGCGCGCCGGAGCGTGGCGTAATGGCCGCGTGATTGAATTGCCGCTTCTCCGCCGCCACCCGGTGTATCGAGTTAATTTCTCGATTTATATGTCGAAGAACCATCTTCGGAACTTCGAGATTTTTCGCATTCTGGAATATTTAAACCTGATTTGATAAAAAAAATTAACATGGTGTAGAATATGATACATGGTACATAACTTCGTGGTGACTCCAACTGACGTTTATTAACAAATCTGCTCTTATTAACAAAAAAATGTAAATGTGATATGGTATTCTTTAAACCAGGAAATAATTCCCAATATAATTCGTGACGACCTTGTTGCTGATGACATTTTCTAAGAGAGAAAGTATTATTGAGATCTAGACTTGTGACTATTATCTGCATTTCACACAAGCTACACTGATGTTGCTCCTTTGGTGGAAAGTTGTGGTTCGTGGTGGAATTTTCAAGAGTAAAGTGGAGAATGTTCAGTATTGAAATTTCGTAGTATCGTATCTCCAACGCCGCCATTATGCTATACCATTTAGAGAGGTTATATTAATAACTAGAAGATGCTTTTGCATCTCCCCTGATGCTGGAAACGAATCTACGCAGTTGTGATTAATCACCAACAGGTTTGCACGTGTGAAATATTTTCCGAAAAATTAACAACTAAAAACAACAACTGAAGTAAAACGTACTTCAAGTACGTTTAGTAGACAAATGCAAGTAGTGGCTTTTGGCAAGCAGCTTAAAGTAGTGCTAGTGTGTATTTCATCGATGCTCCCATCGAATTTTCTTTACCGTAAAAAGTTCCGGGTGAAAAGTAAGTTGGAAGAAATGTACCGGCCTCGCATTAACCATTCCGGTCTTGCACGCCGTCCCCTGCTGCGAAATGTTCTGTTTATTAAGCGGCAGCTGTCCCCAGCTCATTGGTATTCCCCGTCCCCTGTGCACCGCGTGACGAAACGGCGACACTTTTATTCCTTCCCTTCCCGTGTTTGAGACGGCCTCCCACTATGTTATTGAACACCAGATGTTATTTATTGTTGTTCACGTCGTTGTCGCCTTTTTGAAGTTCGCAAATTGAGGTCAACAAAACTCGTAAATCTGTTTTAATATGCGCAACAACTTGCAAGCTATCGGTATCGACTTTCTAAAGTGATGCACAGCTATTTTATATACAATAAATTGAATAGGTAGGTCCCCATATCGATTGCGATCCAAGCCGAGGTTTGAACCTCCATCTTAGGGGGACTTGGATCCTGTCGTGTCGCCCACTTTTCGTTAGCAGGGTGTTGCGGAGTGCAGCGGAGCGGACAGCGTCTTCTTGTCGTCGTGCACCAGCTACGTTGTTCTCCCGAGTCCGTGGGTCATCTACCCGCGGACCTCCTCCGCCGAAGCTGTCAAAGCCGCCGGGCTAACAGCAAATTACACGTCACAAAAAAAAAATCTTCTCTTGCGGATCATGAAAGTCATCGAAAACTCAATGCTTTCGTAATATTCAAATAAATTCCCCTATGTACTATGTTTATTTATTATGAAATTACCATACCTATGAAAAGGTAATACCGAGCATTGTTTTTTATCTAATCTAAATTTGTTAATCTTTGTTTACAGATTAACAAATTTAGATTAGATAGACAAATTTTAAAATTGAGATTATAGAAATTGAAATCCCCTTAAAAGTTAAAAAGATATTAGTTTCTTACTTACTACATATAAGATTGTTTTGTTTTGACAGTTGGCGTGACAGCTAAATAGCGTTTAGTGGCGTTTCAGTATATGAAATTTTCACTAAGTAGCGTTTAGGTACAACTTAACTTGACGAATTTAGTGTTTACGAGCTGCTCAAGGTGCTGAAGATCTGTTTAAGATGGCTTTTTAATATTTAAGTAACGTTTCAGTATTCGGCCCATGACTCTTATTCTACATGCAAAGACAGAAGACGGCCGTGAAGTGTATTACACTATTGCGTTCCGTCTGCTGAGTCAGTGTTTCTGTATTGTAATAGTTTTCTTAATATTTAATATTAATAATTATAATAGTGAACTAAGCCCCTCCCGGAAACAATGACAAGAGAGTGATAACATCTCATCATACTTGATTCGAGGTCAAATTATGAAATTACAGAAGTAACGTTCCGTTACAAAATTTTCCAAATGCCTTATTTAACCAATCCGCTCTTGTTAATCGTCCAACTTAATCCGTATTCATGGTCTCGCTTAGGACTTGAGACTCGATCGCTTTTGCGGTTCCAGAAAGCTCGTTACCAAAAGCCCTCCCCCATTTTCTCTGCAGTATTTTGTTGGATCGGTGCCACGGAGAGGGACGGTTCGTTTTCACATGAATCTCTGTCGTAGTTCGGTTTCCATTTGAAATATTTATAGCTTCGATAAACAAAAGCAGAGAAGAGTTTATTTTTGTCATTATGAACTTTACTTTAAATTATACGAACGTTTTGATTTTTTCCAAAAACTGATTATTATTAACGCTCGCATATCAGACTGTTTTACTATGTGTTTTAACCCTTTACAAATTTAGATTTTTGAAATCATCCCGTATCAGATCGTCTTCATTTAAATATAATTTATTATTCACAAAACGATTATTCATTTTTATGGAAATTCTGTAGGGATTTAATCGTGAATAATTTTATTCCGTATTAAATTTCCCTCGATTTGAATGTTTTGCAGTATCAAAGAGGCAGGTATCCTTGCCGATTTAGTAAAATAACTCACTTACATACTTAAATATTGTATAATGTTTGTCCTTGCTTATTTGATCTACGATCTTATATTAATATTTTCTATTATTTGTACGCAGGTGCGAATCCAGGAGCGATGAAACGTTTTTCTACAATATATCTATAAAATTCAGTAGAGGCTCCTCCTCACTCGACCCCACTGTGGATTGGCAGATTTCACATATCTTCGAAATATTTGTCTGAACATATTAAGTGTCATATGGTGTTTTCCTTCACTGCTGAGCACATTATAAATGAGTATTACGGTGGTAATATTATAACGGTGGTAGGGCCACGCAGCAGCCTTGGCTGTTGCATGAATGGGCTGGCCCGTCCGGGTAAGTACCACGAAGAAGACCGGCGTAAAGTGGAAGTATGACAAATACTTTCGCGTTTCGTCTGGTGAATGAGGTGGCCAGAGCCCAATTTTCAAAAGATGTCCATGGGCATATTTTCACATAAAAAAAAGAGTACTTAAGATTGTAATAATAATTTCATTGGTGCCGGTACCGGAATTTGAACACAGGTCACTCAAGTGTATTGGATTAAAATCAAGCGCTGGACTATAACGGCTTATGAAGATTAGCACCAAAAATAATGTTTAAAATAATTCTAGTCTTAGTTTTTTTTTAAGAGGGAAGGAATAACAAACTTGAACTTTAATTGACGTAGCTAGTTGTTGTTTTGTATTAAAACAAAACTTTTGTAAACCCAAAGGAAATAAATAAAGTACAACAAGTATAAGCACCCGAATGACCTTATTCACCCGAAAAGTTAATTCGGGTTGCTCTTCTGAAATCGGTTCCGTACCTTCTCCGATTGATAAAAAGACTATCACCCAGAAATAATGCCATTAGGTAGATATAATATAATTAAAGCCAGTTTGAAATCCACGAATAGAAATAACAAAACAAAACCTCCATACAATCTCGCTGATGTAAAAAAAAATTACCGCTGATAATGGACCAGGGGTGCATAAAAGCGTGATAGCAGAAAAAATTGCTCCGTTTGTTTTCAATTCCCGTCGACCGCCGTTCGACGAGTCGCCCGTTTCTAAACCGCGCTTTGATTGACTATCCATTTGCTCACCGAATCCGCTTTTGTGTTCAAATGATTTATTTGCGGCGCGGGCGGACGCCGTAAGCTGCTTAGGTGGGCTCTGTTTAAAAATTTCAAATGAAACGGCCGAACGGTTTTGACACAATGCTCAGTCCGATCGATGCGATTATATTATTCCGCCGCCGGGGCCCGTTAAGAGGATGTTTTATGGTAATTATTAAAATGACGAAATATATCGATGCCGTAATCATGCCTGTTAAATTAGTATTTTCTGTTTGAATTCTCGACTTTTAATTTAATGTACTCGAGCAACCTGAGTTTGAATCCCAGCTAGTTTTAATTGCTGGCTTCATATTTTCGAAATAATAACAAAAATATTTCTAAGATATCTGAAGTCCGTCAATATGCAGTGGGGTCGCATAGTCTTCGCTGTTAGTCTACTTTATTTTTACTTATTCTCAACCTTCTGATTACTTTAAAATCACGGGACTATATATTTCAACAGTGTGTAGTATTCACAAAAATACAAGACATAATGAAGCGTATTTAACTGTGTAAATCTCAAGTGGCATTTGTAAAAAAAACATGTTAAAAATAAAACACTAGCATCTGTTATCGAAATTCATTATTTTGGGGACAGATGGTAGAGTTAAGATTTTAAATTGTTTTACATTTTAAATTTCATTCTCTTATTTGTGCCATAAGAACATGATAAGTTCGGTGTTTTTAATAATATGATACTGACAATGTTTATAATAATATTTTTCTTATACTGTTATCTAATATATCTACAATATAGAACTTTATAATACTTTTGTTTAATATGTATCTAGGGAACTCACCTTACCTCCGAAAGGATAAGAAAAACTCAATCTCATCAAATTCAAATATCTTTATTCAACATAGGAACATTCCACTCACTTATTGATAGTCAAAATACTACCACCACACCGGTTCGGAAAAGAAACCCACAGAACTGAGAATAACCGGCGAAAGAAACTCAGCGGGATAATTTTTTTTTCCATTTTCGACATACATTGTGTGACATGGATATATCAAATAAACCAAAAACTCACCTACTCAACGAATATCAGGAACTAACATATAATTATCAAGAGTGTCTGTTGCGCTACGATAAGTCGATTTTCCTTGTTTAATTTAGGTTCATTACAAGCTCCCATTACTGTCAAAATATTACGAACACAATCAATACGCGCCCCCCTGCCGCTGATTACTTGGAGCACCCTGCGGGACGCCCACCTAGAATAATAACTATTCATTACGCGTCGTTAACTCGCTTGATTCCACTCAGGATTC